CATGATTGTAGTTACGACAATTGGAACATATCCGTCGTCATCTGTGAAACAGATATTCCATAACGGTCAACCAACTCGTGATGGCGTCGTTAAATTTTAAGAAGGGATGATTTCAACTTCACCACTTGGAACTCTTGTTTTAATAACTTCGTTGTGAGCAGCAACCCTCTATCAAGGAAATCTTGATAGGAAATACAAACCCTGGAATATCGTATCAGCTGGGAGATATATACTCCGTATGCAGGTGCTGCTAGAATGTTGTTACAGGGATAGGAAGCTAGAACCATCTCTTTTGTCGTAAAGTTTTATTTCAAACGATACTCATTGTCAATTTCTAGTTGTAAGTATAGATAACAGACTGACTTAACTTAAACTGTATCTGTTGTATCCTTTATCTCAAGTTCCATTGGATAGATGCATTCAACATAGTCACCTAATTTGAATTATCTAGTGAGAAAACATCATCTTTATAGCGGAAAGTGAAGTTAAAAGAGACTACTTACGTCTTTTCTTTCTTCCTATGAAGTTCCTGTATGAAGTCAGTCTCATATGAATAAAGGAACAAGTCGGCAAGAAGAGGAGCACAGTTGGTTCCCATGGGAATGCCGATTGTTTGTTGAACAACATGTCCTCCAAACAAATATCAAGAAATCATACATCTTGATAATGTCAGTTTCAGATAATTTTTTGTTAGAATTTGAGTGATTTTTTACAAAATAGAATTTATCCCTCCTTAAGACAAGATACTTGTATCTACGTTTGTCATTCTATTTTATGAAGCAAAGCAGGACCAACTCTTTCAACTTGACATTTGGAAAAAGTATCTACGTCTTCTTTCTCGCGTTTAAATGCATTGACATAAACATCCAAAAATATTTGAAGATCGATTTCTCAAAACAGTATAATAATGAGGACCGGCATAAGAAGAAACAAAGTATTCAATCCAGTAACCGGAAGTTTATCTATTTATTTAAGAATGATCATACTAATTATCACTTGTTCACAATGTCATACTGATCGTGTACACGTTTTGACCAGGTGCCAGTTTCTTTGTCATGTGACATTTTGTGTGATTTTCTTCGTCTTACGAGTCTTGAATGTCGCCTTCGTATCTTCCGCCTTTTTTTTATGGTCTGGTTCAAAAGTTGTGTCGGTAAAATCTTTGCGTCTGTGTTTTTATTGTTTTTGTAGGGTGGGGGTGCTGGTTGCCAGGGATGTGGATGTGAACACATATTCGGTTAGTTATCATTTGAACGTTTAATTTTTCCATCATCGAAATTCTATTCAATTTTTATTTACATATTCACAGCGACTTTTATTTTATTTACATATTCACAGCCACTTTTACTTTATTAACATATTCACAGCGACTTCTATTTTATTATCTGAGCGTCACTGGTTAGTCTTGTGTGGACGAGACGCACGTCTGGCGTATTGAATTTCAAGCCTAGTACCTTCTGCTAGCTATTATTCGTGTGTTTCTTTGTCCTATATGTTCTCCCATTTATTTGTATTATGGTCCTGTCATGTGATGTTGTCGTTTTGGTGTTGTGTTTGACGTTGCCATAAAAGCGGGAGGTTTGGCATGCCACAAAACCAGGTTCAACCCACCATTTTTTTCTTAAAATGTCCTGTACCAAGTCAGGAAAATGGCCATTGTTATATTATAGTTCGTTTCTGTGTGTGTTACATTTTAATGTTGTGTTTTTGTTGTGTCGTTGTTCTCCTCTTATATTTGATGCGTTTCCCTCAGTTTAAGTTTGTAACCCGGATTTGTTTTTATCTCTATCTATTTATGAGTTTCGAACAGCGGTATACTACTGTTGCCTTTATTTATTTACATAATCACAGCGATTTTTATTATAGTGTAGAAGGTCTTGTCTTCATATCAGCAATATGCTATGTATTTTTCTTGTGGCCTCGGTTTTGTCTGATTTTTCGACCCAAGATTTCTGATTACTCTTGTTTCTGCACTGATTTTTTATTTCAAGGTCTCGTACATACCGTCTGCTGTTTCTTTTGTAAAGACTAAATTATATTGTTTGATATATTTTAAGAACTAGTTCAACCCAAACACATATTCAAATGCCTTCCCTAAAGGATTTACCTCGCCAGTGATTTTCAGGCTTTGTGGTCTTGTGCTCCCTTTGAGTTAGGGAGAACGTATGTTCAATACCCGGCCCCGCAAAGCCAAAACTTGACAAAATGGTTTTGGTTGTAAGAACTAAGACTAGAAGCGTAGCTCGGAGTCAGAATAATTGGGTCATCATCATCATCATCATCATCATCATCATCATCATCATCATCAATCTCATTTGGTTAGAAAATACACATAATTACACCATTACTAACACAAATTTATATTAATATTCTTGTAATGTTAGAAATTACATAAAATAACACCATTACAAACTAAATCCCGATTTTATATTCTATTTTTAGAAATTTACCTATGACGTCACTTTTTGTGGCGTTGAAACATTCGTGTGACTCACAGTTCATAATTCTATTGTGGTGTAAACCAGAGGTGTCCGTTGCTATTCTGTGGTTTACATGTTGTAATGTACTATTATATTATTTTTTTATGTATGTCTCTGTCCTGAGTGTTCTTGTGTTTAGTTGTAATGTATCCTGTCACGTAATGTTGTCATTTTAGCGGTATTTTTAACATTGCCGTATAAGCGGGAGGTTTGGCTAGCCATAAAACCATATTTAACCCACCATTTTTTTTAAAATGTCCTGTATCAAGTCAGGAATATGGCAGTTGTTATCAAATAGTCTGTTTCTATGTATGTTGGCGTTTGTTTTTGTAGCAGTTTGTATGTTGTTCCGTTGTTTTCCTCTTATAGTTGATGTGTTTCCCTCGGTTTTGGTTTGTGACATGGATTTGTTTCAGTTAAATTGATTTATGACTATTGAACAGCGGTATATTACTGTTGCCTTTATTTATTCATCATCATCATCAGCAGCAGCAGCAGCAGCATTGTCAGTGATTGTCTTTTGTATAACCTTCATATTTCTGTCTTCTAGGAAAAGTGTTGTTGATGACATATATTTAATAGAGCATGTCAATTTTACTCAATGTTTTTTTTATAAACTCAGGGCGATTTAGAGTTTGACATATTACAACGGCACTTTTTAATTTTTGTAGGGTTGCTGGTTCATTGATGTATACCTTACATCTCCTTTTTCTTTAACAATCTTATCATTATTTTCTTGACAGAGGGTTGTTGTTTACAAGGAAGCTATTCTTCAAATGGTTCTTAATGATAAATTGAATTTGCCGTTACACAAGTTTTTAGAGATTTATTTCGTGCTATTTTAAAATTTTGTAATGTCCTTTTGTGTATACTGGTACCGTTCTTATCATCCTATTTACTAAAAAAAAATGGGTTGTTTACATTTCATAGCTTCAGATGCGGTCAAGTGAAAGGGTAACAGAATTCAAATGTACCGATGCTTTATGAATATGCCAAAGTCTTTACATTTGCCAAGAGACATTCACTTATCTCCTATGGTGCGTATTCAACGCAGATGTCACTTATGGAAAGTTAGGAAAATGGCCATTGTTATATTATAGTTCGTTTATGTGTGTGTTACATTTTAATGTTGTGTTTCTGTATAGTCGTAGTTCTCCTCTTATATTTGATATGTTTCCCTCAGTTTTAGTTTGTTACCCGTATTTGTTTTTTTCTCAATCGATTTATGAATTTTAACATTTTATACTGCAATCTTGGTAACTATTAAATAGATATTATAAAAATCATTCCATTGCCCTATAGACCAAATGACAGCAGTCAAACAAATGTGATTAGCTTCCTGAAGGTTATCATACAATTTTTTACATACATCCTTGGCCATAATCTGTATCAATTTAGATGAGAGATGTTGCCGGCTTGGAATTTGAAAGTTTGGGTTAAGATTTTCTATAAATTTTTCTTAAAGTTTTGCTTTCAACTGTTGAAAATGGGATTAAATCACTTCTAGCAATATACTTGAAAAGTGAATCTATAGCTTTGTTTTGCTTTGGGTTTTGGGTCATTTAATTGATATTTCTGAATACCAGATGGATTTACAAAGTTTTCCAAGGTTGATAGTTCTTCTGGGTCAGGCTTTTATATTTCGAAGTATACATCTCTGTGTTTTCTTACAAAAGAAATAACAGAAATGTTTTAAGGAATTTATTCTACCATTATGTTTTTTTTTATTTATATATTGTTAACTTAATCTCAATGTTAATTAAATACTTTAAAATCACAAATTCACTTGTCAAAAGAAAGGAATTGATTAATTGCTATACAAACTAATTAGTGGTTTTTGTCAGGGGTCAATTATTAATTATTCAACTTATTTCTTTCATGTTTAAATATCATGTATTGGGTTTTCAATGACTATAATGATATATGAAAATGACTACAAATAAAAAATAAATTTACTTTTGTATGTTTAAAAAAAATATCTGTTTTAATTATTAGTATAAATGTTTTAGTATTAAGGTAAGATGAAGAAAATCATAAGTTTTACAACAGTTCAAATGTACACTTTTTTTAATCCTTAACTAGACATTGATTTGTGTTTAATTTTCCTATCCTAAAAGAAAGAATACAACAGTAGTACTTATTATCCCTGAAATTTGCTATATAATGCCATGTAATGCATAAATTACATGCATTTTTGCCAATGTAATGCATTACATTACAATTACATGTAATGCAAAATTGTTGGGCATTACACATTACATGCATTACTTGGGGAAATGTAATGCATTACAGGGCATTACAATTACAAATTAGCATTACCCTATGCCTGGTGTGGTCGGTAAAATAGGATGCAAATTCTGCAAATCATTGCAGAAAATAATATTTTTTTGACGGTATATAAGTCAGATAATGCATATTTTAAGTTTTTTTCTAAAAATCTATGTAGTCAGTACTTACCTGTTGATATTTAGACCAGCAAACGTTACATTTGATCTTAACATCTGTGTAGTCTGTTCTAACCTGTTGATATCTAGACCAGCAAACTTTACATTTGATCTACAAATCTATGTAGTCAGTACTTACCTGTTGATATCCAGACCAGCAAATTTTACATTTGAACTTAACATCTATGTAGTCAGTACCAACCTGTTGATATCCAGACCAGCAAACTTTACATTTGATCTAAATAATCTATGTAGTCAGTACTAACCTGTTGATATCTAGACCAGCAAACTTCAATGTAGAAATGTCGTTAAAGCACACATGTCGGCGTTTTCGTTTGTCAGAGTAACAACGACATTAGCTCCCAAGTTCATAACATGATTCACCATATGGTTCTGTACGACAAGTGCATCCACAGCCGAATATGTTTCATTGACCATATCCACAGTACGGGTTAGCAGCAGTGCAGTCCGCACAATGATACCTTTAAGGTTTGCCACAGCAAGCCCCGTTTGTCATGCCCATGACAACACAGCAAATTACAAACTAAAGCGTCATCTGTAATATGTAAGACATCTACAATACAAAATTGAATTGTAAAACAATGAATACGTAATATATTATTTGGTAATACCTGACTATGTTGACTGCTGTTAGTACACAAAATGAAATATCTTTCTGTTGTCACATATCAAACTTAAGATCGATGTACAGTGAGTGTGTAAGATTTGTTTCTAAAATGGCCTAAGGAAAAGCACAATACAAAAAGTAGGAAAGTCCAAATTATAAAACAACTCATCAAAGATACTAGGCTTATATTCTGGTAGGCCAGACGTGCCTTTGGTCTACGTCATAATCGCTCGAATCAAAACAGTTGAAAAGTCTGTTTTGAAATATGAAAGATTTCAAGGACAAAACCACCGAAATTGATCTAAGAAGAGATCCTTGTTTTTAACTAATTTTAGTGAAGACAAATATAATAATCAAGAATTTTCTAAATATAATGCCTAAATTTACCCAAAGAAACTTACTTTAAATAAATTAAATATAAACGATAATAACTGTCTTTTCCTAGACTGAGATATTTCAGTTTTACACGGGAAACTCTACACTAAAATTTATGACACAAGAGACGATTTTTTGTTCCCTATTGTTAATTTTCCTTTTTTTTATGGTGATGTTCCTTTGGCACCATCTTACGGTGTTTATATATATATCACAATTCGTTCGCTATGCCCGTGTCTGTTGTGACGTTTTGGATTTCAATGACCGTAATCTACGTATTACTGGTAAATTATCAACTCACGGATTTCGTTACCACAAATTCCTTAAAACCTTTACCAAATCCTTCCATAGATACAAAGATTTGGTCTTGAAATTTGGTTGTATCTGTAGAAAACTTATTTCAAACGGGATAGCACATCCGCATTTTTACGGAGATGTTGTTTACCGAGCCCGATAAACTTATTCTAAAAGGTTACCAATTCAACACTGTAATTAGATCTTTGAATATTGTTTTAATTTGTTTTAATCTTGATTTTGTTATCAGTAAATTAAAATCAAACTAAATTTTATTTATATATACATATGCACATTCATGGCTCTACAATCTGTCGATACCTGTATCTTGGCATGGCACAAGGTCATGTTTTTCCCTGGCTGGGTATAACGTCTTACACTAAATATATTGGATGTTGGATGTTTTCTGATTGATATTTTAGTCTTAGATGCATGACTTTTTTATTAGTTGTTATTTGCTTTGAACTAGCTGTCAGTAACTGCGAGTACTCTCAGATCTGTACTTAGTATATTTTTTGTTGTGGGGATGTATAAGTACCTATCCACGTCCACTCTGTGTTTTGTTAGATGTATTTCTATTTGTATCCATCTGATGAGTAAATAGATGTAAGGAGATATGGTATGAGTGCCAATGAGACAATTCTCCATCCAAGTCACAATTTGTAAAAGTAAACCATTATAGGCCAAAGTACGGCCTTCAACACGGAGCCTTGGCTCACACCGAACAGCCAGCTTTAACGGGCCCCAAAAATGACTATTGTAAAACCATTCAAACAGGAAAACCAACGGTCTAATCTATATAAAAAACAAGAAACAAGAAACACTTATGAACCACATCAACAAACGACAACCACTGAACAACAGGTTTATTTTCAACCGATTTTTATAGTGTGTTCTTATGTTGTACTGTTACACCACTGTCCCAGGTTGGGGGAGAGTTGGCGCTTTCAAACGAGTTTAACCTCGCCTCATTCTGTATGTGCCTGTCCCAAGTCAGGAGCCTCTAATTCAGTGGTTGTCGTTTGTTGCTGTGTAACATATTTTTTTTTCGTTCATTATTTTGTACATAATTAAAGCCGTTAGTTTTCTCGTTTGAATTGTTTTACATTTGTCATTTCGAGACCTTTTATAGCTGACTATGCGGTATGGGCTTTGCTCATTGTTGAAGGCGGTGCGGTGACCTATAGTTGTTAATTTCTGTGTCATTTGGTCTCTTAATCTTAATATCTTAACCATTTAAAGGAAAGAATCGTGGAAATTGCTTTTGTTAAGTTGTTGACTAATTTTTTTTTCCCATTTTGATGTCATTATCAATTTGATTTGAAATATATATTTAAAATCTGAATAAATCATTAAGCGCAGTGGTACTGCTTTCCATTTGCACAGAACAAAATGAGAAAAAAGTGGAAGTATTATTCATTTCAAGTATTGGTTTATTTAAGCCCAATGATTTAACAGGAGATGATGAACAACGGATGGATAGACGAACGGATGGCGGACACAAACTAATGACAATAGCAAATATTGCCTCGTAAGTCATATTAGCTAAAAAGCAAGAATCTAGTGAAAAGGGAAATCAAAACCATAACTGAAAGCAATGCAGACATCATAACTAATGAAAAAGGCAAAAGAAATACAACATACCGACGAAAAAACATAAAATACAAACGTTTGACCAACACAAACCAAACCATAAGCTGGGGATGAACTCAGATGCTAAAGCACAATGTGTATTGCTTGTTCCACTAGTGCCACCTTTCATTTTGTCTGCAGTACAAGTACGACTTAAATCATAATAATCAAATACCATTTAAAAAAAAGACGACAACAAATGAGATTACTGGTACGAGACAGACAATTTAACAACTGTCGGTCATGAATTGGATTTATAATGTCAGGTAATCAACAAAAAGTCAAATGCAAATAATGAAATTGAAAACTAAAAAAATGAACTAATAATCACTTAATTAAATGGTATCGGTATAATGAAAGATTGATAAAAAAAAATGCAGCGACTGTAAACATATTACATCTAATGATGATACAGTTACTGAATAAAGTCGTCATCTTTAGAAAATAAAAAAACGCAGGTTTAATAAACAGATTAAACGACCGTATTTTTAGAATAGAATTTAGATTATATCATCATGATTGCATAATGTTTAATTTTGTTCGATAGAAAAGTTTCTTAAGTTATTTCTGTATGTTGATATCAGTATAAAGTAACATAAACGTACTTTTACGATTTACTCACTGTGGTTAACCAAGAAACTTGTAGCATTTGAAATTAAATCGCCTCAGTGTTGAATTGTACTAATAACAAGGTCACAAGTTAATCAAGCACTTTTGTATGCAATAGGAAAATGTGCAACATGTGATGCAAAATTCCTATTAAAATTAATTTTTTAAATAAACATGCAAAGTATGAAATTTCGATGCATCAAAGTTTTGTCGTTAGTTGTTTATTTTAAAATCAGTGACACAATTTATAAATTTAAGACCTAACGTAACACCTTAAAAAAACATGTCTAAGAACTATTTAAATAACTAACTTCATAGAACTATTGGTTCTTTCTAGTAAAGTTGAAGAAATTCCTTCGAATGAACACAATAATGATTTGTTGAACGTTATGGAAATTCTAAGTTACAAATGACCCAGGAGATGATCCTCATCGTACACAAAGTACTGTTCCATTTTACATGATTTTGAAATCCCCGATAATCAAGAATGAGTAAATAATCTTCATTTGCAATTCAATTTTAATGTTTGAAGTGGGTCTGTGGTCTAGGTCTTCATTAGATTTTAGTAGTCATTCTTGAATTATCAGTAGATCATGATCTACTTTGATTTTTTTCTGAAAAAGATCTACCTACTGTCTATTTGATCGAAACTGTCAGACAAAAACCTATAGGAGTTTTTCCCGTTTGTGAAATTTTTATAATTTTTACAATCTTGGTTATTATCTGGAAATTTGTAATAGATGAAGAGTATATGTGTCAAAAAAATATAAAAAAAGACAAGATCTTGAAACAAAATAACTGGCCGAAATAATCAGTCGACTCCTAATAGGATGTTTTCCTCTTCAATGATTTGTTTCTCAGTTTTTGCTATGTTCAACTATTTTATAACTATATGAGAAAAATGGAAATTTAATTGTACAAATGACCAGCATTTAGTCCTCATAGGAGGTATGGCCCTTGAATGACTATTTTCCTTTTTTTTGGTAGAAAATATATTACGTATTGAGAACTGTTTAAAGAAATATATGTAGGCAAAGATCAACAAACAAACAAGTCCAAATGTCCGAAAACGTCAAGTAGTTTTGGAGTTTAGTGTGACGTCCAATTTCACTGAGCTAGTACACAATTTTATTTAGGGACCAGTGAGGACCACCTCCGGGTGCGGGATTTTCTCGCTGCGTTGAAGACCCATTGGTGGCCTTCGGCTGTTGTCTGCTCTTTGGTCGGGTTGTTGTCTCTTTGACATATTCCCCATTTCCAATCTCAATTTTATCGTTCTTGAATGACTATTTTCCCTATATTTGAGTTTTTTTGCAAACATTTAAAAATTATCCGTTCAGATGCCTAATAATTTTATATAGCTTATCAACATATTCTATAGTAGTCACACGGTGGGTGTCAAATTAGGAGCAGGATGTACTTACCCTTCCGGAGCATCTGAGATCACCCCCGGTTTTTGGAGGGATTCGTGTGTCCAATCAACACATAAGTTAACATAACTAACTTTAAACAATAAGCAGATATATACCAGCCAATCAACACATAAGTTAACATAACATAAGTTAACATAACT